AGAGGGAGATTGTATAAAATCAGTTCGGATTAACCAGCAACTGAAGTCAAATTTAGAAACAAACTAAGGTAATAAGTATTTTCAATATAAAACTTGGACTAAAATAATAGAACAGGAACGGAGCAGGTAAAACGAATAAGTAAAGTCAGAAAATTAATACCAAATAGCAAAGAGATACCATTCGGCACGTAGTACTAATAAGCCGCAATTAGTAACGGATGCCTTTTAATAACAAATATATATTTGATTATATATACAATATGTAACAAAAACCCTGTGGTTCCCATTAAGTGCGTTATCAGAATCAGTATTCAAACGTATAGAAAAAACTTTATTTTAGAAAACTCGGACATAAAAATAATCAAATTAAATTTTTATTAAATAATATTTGTAAATTTTATGTGGATTGATTACCTCTGCCTGGAATTATCGACAGCGGTGGGTGGCGGCCGGCGGTGACGTAGGTACATCAAAGACGGGGCGCGCGCGCGTGCGTCTTACCTACACTGACTGCACACTAAGGTCGTGACCTCGTCACAACACAGCTGTTATAGTCAAACACTAATTTATCTCTATGTCTACTTGATGACCACGAAGATGTTGTTCAATATGTCCGCCTTGTACCTCTATACATTTGTGATACCGACTTATAATGTCTGAACGCACGCGTTGCAACAGACACTTCGGACTTTATTTTTTCAAAGGCTGTGACTATACGCATACGCATTTCTGCCTCGGTATCGTATGTTTTTTGGAATACAGTCTACTTAATCGTACCCCAGAGATAAAAATCTAAAGGTGTGAGATCAGGTGATCGTGCCGGCCAGTTGAACGGTCCACCGCGGCTAATCCATCTTTCACCAAATTGAGTATCCAAAAAACTTCTTACACAACGGGAGAAATGCGGTGGAGCACCATCGTGTTAAAACCACATACGACGAACGAGGTCTAAATTTATTTCGTCAAGTTCATTGCTTAGTTCTTCTTTCAAAAAACGTCCGCAGTTTTCACCACTCATTGTGTGATCAAGGAAATACGGACCAATTATTTTGTCACCTATAATTCCCGCCCACACATTGATTTTCTATCGGTGTTGAAAGTGGCTTGGTTTATACGAATGCGGATTTTTCGTTGACCATACGTGTTCATTATGAGCGTTAAATACACCAGTTCTTACAAAAGAGCATTCATCCATAAAAAGTAGGCGGTTCAAAAACTCAGAATCTCCTTCAACCTTATCAAGTAACCATCTACAGTAATCCATTCTCGACTCGTAGTTGTTGGGAAGAAGACACTGAACTCGACGATAATGATACGGGTGCTGGCCATCATCTTGAAGGGCTCTCCAAACGCGCATATGGTTCACACGTAGTTAACGTGCCACCGAGCGCGTGCTCCGCGTCGTATCTTCCTCAAACATCTCGAGAATGTGTTCCTCGATGTCGTCGTCGTACATCCTCGGTCTTCCTGAATCTGTACGTTGTTGATCAAGAACATGCACACTTCCAGTATTGTACATACTAATGTGAAGTCATTGGAACGTCATCGCCGACGGCAATTGTATATTTCGTGGAGTAGCAAAGCACTCCCCGTAAATTCTTCGTGCTGCTGCATAATTGCAGTTACATTTCCCGAAACACATCAACATATTAAAATATTCCTCGTTTGAGTAAGACATCGCACACAAGTCACTCACGGCGGAATATTAATTTCGCTATATAAAACGCAACCGTCAATATCAGTGCTAACGCGCTACTGGTGCTTGATGCTTGTTTGTTAGCATAGACGTGGCAAAACTATTGTACTCTATAACATAATTTTGATATTTTCTAAATCAATAAAAAATTTCGTGATTTTTTATGTTATTTTTTAATAATAGTTATTATTTATTTATTTACTTCAGACAGAGTCCGTAAGTGTTATTAAGAAATTAAATTATAGCTAGGATTGGTAAAAATACATTAAAACACGGTTATAACAAGAAACATTTAAAAAATTGTGTTATCAATCCACACAATAACAAATACTTAAACTATTATGCTGCTGTTTTTCAAAATCTGATAATAAGCATTTTTTTTATCGACCGACGATAAACAATACTTATGTATATTTCTAATCTTGACCACTGAATTGTGACATTTTATGATTATAAAATTTCCCATTTTTTTAAATATTACTACCAGATATTATTAGCACAGAATAAATAATAGGTATTAAGACCACGAAGATATTGTTCAATATGTCCACCTGTCACACATTTGCGACACGATGATAAACAACCCTTATTTTAATTTTTATTCTTGATCACTGAATTGTGACAAAATTTTATGTTCATAAATCTTCTCATGTTTTTAAATATTACTACTAAATATTAGCACATTATAACTAATAGATATTGGATCAAAATTAGTTAAGCGGCATAAAGTGGACGCTACTTTTAATCATTCGAAGAGTGGAGTTTTATGGGTTTTTCCTAGTACCTAAGTTCTTCGTCGGCTTTCGATTTTGAGTTCGAAGAGCGCGCAAAACGCCGCGTATATTACCTATTAATTTTGTTTTGTTTATTATATTCTAGCAATAAACGACAATATGAATTTATTTAAAAAAAATGATTAGAACCTACTACATATTCTTTATCGAATAATATTTCATATGAAAAATACATACTAAATTTCTCCTACAAATAGTTGCAAATTTGGAATTAATCACGATGTTTTATGCATGAAATAACCTTTTTAAATATTTTCGTAGATCTATTTACCTAGCAAAAAATTTTCATTATCATAATTGCCATGCCTATGTGTACACCTCTACGCCCCTGAAACTACTAATATGGTTTTTGTTACATACTGTATAGCTAAGTCAAATAGATTTCCCTTCGGAATTTCGGTACTGTGCTGACAAATGTTGTACAAATATAAAGCATAGAATTATAATTGACAAACTGTATTACGACATAGTGTCTGCCATAAGTGACGACGCAATTGCTAGTCGAGAGTACAAGAAACATTTGTCAAAAAACCCGTTGTAGGATGGAACAGACATGTTAGAGAGGCTCATGGGGAGGCTAGACAGAAATTTGATCTTTGGATGGCTAATGGACGGCCCAATCATGGCAAATTATTTAATGAAATGCATAGCACCCGAAAGGTATTTAAATCACGCCTAAAATGGTGTCAAGATGATAAGCAACAAATTGAAATAGATGAAATAGTGTCATCGTATACCAAAAAAGATTTTAGTGTTTTTTTTTTGGAAAAGCACTAATAAGATGAGAATTCCGCCTGGGATTCCCGTGAGTGTGGGCGGGGTGAGTAACCCAAAGGATATTGCCAACCTCTTTAGGGAGCTTTTCTCTGTAAAGTCGACACTAGGGTCGTATCCTTATGAATCGGTGCAAGATGCTGGGACAATCATTGATGGAGTAGGGAACAAAATAAGTGTGAAAGATGTAGCAAAACTCATAAAATCTATGTCTAGGGGCAAGTCTCCAGGTCATGATTGTCTCAGTATCGAGCATCTACAGTATGTTGGCTCACATATACACCGGGTACTGGCTATGTTCTTCACTACATGTATACGGCATACATATCTGCCCCCTGATCTAATGAAGACCATAGTAGCACCGGTGGTAAAAAATAAAACGGGTGACTTGTCAGATAAATGTAATTATAGACCAATATCCTTGGCAACCATCATAGCAAAGATATTGGACAGTATGCTTAATACGCAGATCAATAAATATCTAAAACTGCATGATGGTCAGTTCGAATTTCGTACCGGACTGTCCACAGAAAGTGCGATACTTTGCCTTAAACACACTTTCAAATATTATGTTGATAGGAAAGGTGTTTACCTGTCAACGCTTGTTTCCTTGACCTGTCGAGGGCGCTTGATCTGGTCTCCTACAATATACTGTGGAAAAAATTGGAGGATATTAAATTACCAGGTCAACTGATACATATTTTAAAATATTGGTATGGGGAACAGGTCAATTGCGTTAGATGGGCTAATGTTTTGTCTGAACCACACCGGTGGGAGTGCGGGTGAGACAGGGTGGGCTAAACTCACCTAGTCTCTTTAACCTCTATGTAAATGGACTTATTGAGGCGCTTAGCAGCATGCATGTCGGATGTCATATAGATGGAATTTGTGTAGATAACTTGAGTTACGCTGATGACATGGTGCTGCTGAGTGCATCAATATGTGGATTAAGAAAATTGCTTAGTGTTTGTGTGACATTCGCAGCTGAACATGGGCTGAAATGCAATCCACAAAAAGACAGTATATGATCTTTGGGGCCGGACGGGATCATATGCGTAATGTGCCTCCTATTAAAGTGAATGGCATACCATTAACTAGGTCTGACTCTTTCAAATATTTAGGTCATATGGTTACGTCCGACCTCAAGGATACTACTGACATAGAAAGGTAACGTAGGGCTCTGTCGGTTCATGCAAATATGATTGCTCGTAGGTTCGCGAGTTTTGTACATCTCTTTACACGTGCAGCCTGTGGCCAGCCAATACAAAGCCAGCCAGCCAATATAACATCACGTTCCGGGTGCTGATGGGGCTGTCCCGACGCTGCAGTGCATCAGCGATGTTTTATCAAGCACATGTACATTGTTTTTACGCAACTTTGCGTAAAAGAGCTGCATCGCTGGTGCGTAGGGTAAGGGCCAGCCCCAACGGCATTCTCAAAATGATAGAGGAGAGAGTGAACTATCCCTATCTGCAACATTGCTGTAGACTGCATATGCCCAGCAGCTAATTTGACTGTTTTTATGTGCATTACAGTATTTATTAATAATTAATAGTTTTAATATATTTGTCTCATCATATTTTGTTAGATTATTTGATTTTAATTTGTTTTAATAATTATAATTTGAAAATGAATTTTAATGTAAATAAAAATGAGTCCTGGATACTTGAAATTTAATAAATAAATAAAAAATATATGGTTAAATAAAAGTAGATGCAAAAATGATACACATTTTTTCATTGCTCCAAAACTGTAGCAAGTATATCATATACGATCAAAAACAAACCTTAAGTTTTCAGTAACACCCTTACTGAACGCTAATCAATCCTATTATATCACGGCCAGCTGCTGTCCTCGCTTTTGCGAGCTTGACAAGTGACGGCCATTGGATTGTATTTTAATGCCATATTGAAATTTGAGTGCCTTAATGATAGAACTTGATTTTGTTACGCGCCTAAGTCGACGGCACTAGCGCCATCTAGTGTCGGGTAACGGAGCGAGGGAAGAGCTTTCCAGAAAATGACATCACTAATCTTTCAACCGACAGCGCCATCTGTTGTCGAAAGGAAAAACTAAGCTTCTGGAAGCTGACTCTCGAACTTTCGGCGCTTTGTCGATTGATGCGCGAATTTACTTGAATGTTCTGGATGATTCGGTACTAATATGTATTTATAGGCGCTGCAAGGTGCGATCGGGGAAGTATTGAATTTGGCGAGACCAGCTAAGCTTCGGAGCGGAATAAAGTGAAACAGTGTGATAAATTTTTGGTGTTTTAAGTTTTAATTTGTGTAAAGAAAATTAAAGTGTTAATTTAGGTAATCCTATCTTCAATTTTTATTTTCACATGACACATCAACATCTTTGGATTCAAGCACCAGTGCTTCAAGTGTGTAGTCTCCAGGTCCTTCAAAAGTTTCATTACCATGGCAAAGTCAGAGCACATCAGCACAGTTGGCGAGAAACTTGTTCAACTTCCTTTGAGAACAAAGAAGAAGAAAGAAGAAAAAAGAAGAAAGGGGTAAGCCCTTTATCACTAGAAATGACGTCATTATAGAATGGATCATCCGATCTCGCCAGGAAGTAATCACGGAGGCTGCACACTTCGCAATTATTAATGGTGATCGCGCTCAGAAAACCACGCCCACCATGCTTACGCGGCAAGTACAGCCTCATTACTGACGATCTCGGATGATGTATCCTATGGGACGTCATGGTAGTGCGGACTTTTCTATCCACCTGAGTATGCTAAAGGTATATATGAGGACAGGCATGACCCAACCGTTATATGCGTGTGTCTTATTCACGCCGGACAAAAGGCTGTTAAGCACTTTGGTCAAGCGTGCATAAAACACGTCGCAAACTGACTTTCATACCAGTCTCATCGATACCGATGTTTTGTAACATACCCAGGTATTGGTATGTTTCAGCCTCGGAAAGGGTTCTTAAGTTGACGGGCATAGATAAGTCTATGCCCTCAGAGTTAGCAACTCTTCCCCTTTCAACATGGAGGACCGCACACTTATCCGTCACCAGCTCCATTCCAATAGAACTGCTAAATTCACAAGTGATGTTTAGCAGTTCCACAAGATGGGAGCGACTGGAGGCGAATAACTTGAGGTAATCCGTATAGAAAAGGTGGGTCACTTTTGTTCCTCCCTTCCGTAGCTGAAATCCTCTCCCGGAGCCCCCTAGTAAGGTACTGAGATAAAACGTACGTTGGCTGGGATAAAATATCCGGTGGCTTCATAAAACAAATCAAAAAAATTATTGTACCTCCGCTTACCTACGTATGTAACCTGGGCTTCAATTATGGCATATTCCCAACAGCTTTTAAAAAATCCCTCATTCATCCTGTTTACAAAAATGGAGACCGAGACTGTGTAAGCAACTATGGACCAATATCTATATTACCATCACTATCTAAAATATTAGAACGTGTGATGAATAATAGGTTAAAAAATTTTCTTGTTAAAATTCCATACTTTCGCCAAATCAATTTGGTTTTGGTTCCGGTAAATCTACAGCTGATGCGGTTCACGAACTGAGTTTATCGTACTTAGCCTCGAGAAAAAAAAGAAAACAATAGGAATATTTTTAGATTTGGCTAAAGCTTTTGACACGGTCTCTGTTCCCATATTGTTGCATAAAATGGAGAAGCTTGGTATAAGGGGTGTACCGTTGCAGCTTTTCAGAGATTATCTTACAGATAGAACACAGTTGGTTATAATTGAACATGTTTAATGTTAGTGATGAGCTTCCCATCTGCTATGGTGTTCCCCAAGGAAGTATTCTTGGCCCCACCTTATTTCTTCTTTACATTAATGACCTCTGCAAACTGAAATTACTGAACGGAAAAATAGTTACGTTTGCTGATGACACATCAATGCTATTTACTGGTGATTCATGGCCAGATGTATTTAACTTCGCTCAGATTGGCTTAAACAGAGTGTCCAAATCGCTACGCGATAATGTGTTAACCCCCAACGTGGATAAAACAAAGTACTTGTCCTTCTCCAAACATAATAATAAATATGCAACCTGCACGGACCATGTTATTACTGCTCATTCTTGCAATTTTCCTCATTGTCTGACATGTTCATGCACACCTTTGCAAAAAATGAACTCAATTAAATACCTTGGCATTTTGTTGAATGTTAAGCTAACTTTTCATGAGCATATTTATTCACTTACAAATAGGATACGGAAATTAACATATATTTTTTAAAAAACTCCGTTGCGTAGCAGATTCTAACACTATTAAATCTGTCTATTTTGCTCTATGCCAATCTTTAATAATATATTGTATTAGGTGCTGGGGTGGGGCTACCAAATCATCTCTTCTGCCCCTCGAAAGATCACAAAGGTTAATCTTAAAAGTAAGTAACTCTCTTCCATTTAAATTTCCAGCCAGTCAACTTTATAAAATTTCCAAAGTTCTTACAGTCCGGCAACTGTTCATTATATATACAGTACTAAAAAAACATGCACAATTAAAATATGACCAAAAAATACACAGCACACGAGACGCAAAGACCGAGTGTGTACTTCTCATTATGACCATTGTACCTAATTTTCTAGGAGATTTTTTTGCTATCTTGGCGGATACCTGTATAATAAAGTTAACAAGGAACTTAATATTCACGTCCTACCTAAAATAAAAGCTAAAAAATGTATCCATGAATGGTTACTGATGACGGACTATAAATATACGGAAGATCTTTTTACATCACATGTCTAAATGTTGTAATTTTTGCATTCACTCAGCACACGCGCGCACACACACACACACACACACACACACACACACACACACACACACAAACACACACACACAAACACACACACACGTATCATTATTATTAAATTATGTATATACGCGCAAATGGATTATATCGTATCATTACTGTTAAAATATGTATTCCAAGATAACATACATTTGTATTTGTTTAACTGGGAGGGAGACCTGATGACCTGAAATACAGGTTCGTCGCCTAGTTTAGGCATCAGTCTCTCACATTAATTTGTGCCTTTTTTTTTGTTAAAATTCGATATTGTTAATTTATTGTGGAGAGAAAAATAAATTATTATTATTATTATAATGTGGGGTACCTATATAGTTTTCTCATCTGGTTGGGATGTATATTATTATTATATATTATTATTATTATTACTGAGAGGGTTCAGAGAGAGGCAGAACCATATTGGACTCAGACAATCGCCCTGGAAGATACCCCTTCTTATCCTTATGTGGTTCTCCGCAGCCATCATCCGCTCGCCCAGATGACAAAGGATCGTACTCCACTGCCCCATACACTGCACAAGGAAGTCTCTAACTGTACAAGAACTCTCTTTAGCCATGTATGGGGCACCGAGTCGAATGCCTTTCTGTAGTCTATCCAGGCGGCGGAGAAATTCCGACGGTTGCGTTTCACCACTTTGCCAATGACCGCGTCAATGAGGAGTGGTTCCTTGGTTCCACGACCGCCGCCCCAACATCCATTTTGAGCGCGCGCCATCACCTGATTTGAGTCCAGGTGACGAGTGATTCTCGCGCTCAAAATGGATGTTAGTGTCTTGTATATGGTCGGTAGACATGTGATGGGGCGGTATTTGCTCGGGTCTGTGGTACCCTGGTCTTTAGGAACCAAATGGGTGATCCCAGTAGTGAAGAGGCTCGGGAGCGACTTCTGGTTGAGAACCTCTTGAAACTGTCGGGCGAGGACAGTATGACACACCACGAACCCCTTCAGCCAGTAGTGATGCAGCCCGTCGAGTCCCGGACTTTTCCAGTTCGGGGCCCTACGGACCGCCTCAGCTACGTCATCCGGCGTTATGGTGACGGGGTCCATGGGCGTAATACCCGCACACTGACTCGCCACAACTTCCGTCCAAGGGCCCTCGTTGTGGTTTACGGGCTCTGACCACAGGCTGCGCCAGAATGCGACCGTGTCGGCCTGATTCAGTACTGGGCCCGTTCCACTTACCATTGGTCGCTCCAATGATTTATAGAGCCTCTTCTGATCACTCTGGAAGAGACGATTCTGGTTGAACCGTGTCGACCTCTCGGTATATCGCCGAATTCGCTTTCCCCAAGAAGCGATTTTCTGCTTCAGGTCGTCTATTCGCTCCGTCAGTTTTTGCATTATATCCGGCTGGGACAAACTAACATTTGTCCCAGCAAACGCCATCCTGACGGTGCGCACAATCCTTGGCCTGGTATTGCCTGACCTGAAGCATATCAGTCTGCCGATGAGGGCCCTAGCCTTTGCGATACGTTCTTCAATTCTTGTTCTCCAGGCTGGGATAGCACTACTTTGTCCAGTAGTGCGTCCAGACGTGGAAAGTTTGGCGCCTATAATACGGCAGACTGCCAGTGCGGCGCCAAAGAGAATTGAGTCCGTCTCGCAAAGGTCCCGGCTGGCTTCCAAATAGATCACCAGCATTGGGTTCAGAGCCCTCACGACAGCCCGATTCCGCTTGCTTAGGGCTATGCGGGGAAGTCGCGGTCGATTTTCGAGAGGCGTACTGCGCGTTTCCATAATCTCCTCTTCCAATGTACTCCTCATTTGCTCTATTTATAGTTCCTGGGTGAATGTTCCATCATCAATTGAATCAGCAACCACTGGGGTATTCTCAGCGGCATCCACGTGTGCGGGTTGTTCTGCAACTTGTGGCACCGCACCCCCAGTCGTAGCGTTTTCATTTGATGAGGGAACAGCCTCACGTCGTAGCCGTTCGAGTTCGGCGCCATCAAATATATTTGAGCGTAAGATATACCGAACTCGGTCTGCCAGGTTTTGCTCGGTGACAGTAATAGATGGCTCCAGCTAAGTAAAAAGACGATGCATCCTAGCCCGATACGCGAGACCTCCAATTTCTCCCCCTTTCGCCCTAAAATACGCCCGCAATGCGTTTGTATTCATATTGATGGTCCATCGCATGCGGCGTACTCCACCAGTGGCAGGTGCCGATTGTTGGGTCTGCGAAGACCCTGCCGACACCAAGCAAGCTGGTGGGGATGATGGATGCGAGGGGCTGCTGGGTGGTCGTGCAGCACCTCGCGCTCGGCTGGCGGTTCGCATGCTGTCCCGTCCAGTGCCAGCTCCAGACGCGCCCTGACGACTTCCAGGCAGCGGCCCTTTGCGCAATCTTCTGTGTTCCATCATCTATACAGGACGTCACTTAACGGGAGACGCCCAGACCCGGCGCCGTTTCATGGTGAGGCCATATGCACAAGCGGGCCCTTATACCATCAATTTTTGCCGAGGCACGGCGCTCACACCTCTTGGCACGGTGCTGACTGACTGCGCGGACGTAGCGGTTTTGTCACATAACCGTCACGTCAGCGGGCGATGGGGTCGTCACTTCCCTACGCCATTTTATTATTATATGGGGGTATCAATATAGTTTTCTCATCTGGTTGGGTTCTATAAATATATAATTATAAATTAAAATGAAAAGATAAATATACATAAATATCAATAAAATAAAATAAATAAAAAAATACACAAATAAATAAAGATCCAACCAGATGGAAGCCCTCGGCAGGGGAGACCAAACGGCCGAGGGTTAGGGGGAAAGGGAAAGAAACCGACGGACGATGCGGGCGGTATCGAGGACCACTGCCTTCTGCATTTGAGCCAGGAGCGGTCCGTCACGGAGTCCCAGTCGCCTCAGATGACCCGAGAGGCTGACTGGGATTAGCCCATTCGCAGAGACGACTACAGGAATAATTTCGGTCGGCCAACCACCCCACATGTCGGTCACCTCGTGAGCCAGGTCCAGATATTTTGTTCGTTTATCTGTTTCGGCTTTCACGAGGTTCTCGTCATACGGAATGGTAATGTCGACCAAAAATATCCTTGACTGTGCCCGGTCCATCAGCACAATATCAGGCTTATTTGCAAGAATAGTCCTGTCTGTGATGATGGCCCGGTCCCAGTAGAGCCTGGCGCGGTCATTTTCGAGCACGGCTTCCGGCAAGTACTTGTAATACGGCAATTTCCGGTCCACGAGACCGTATTTCAGAGCGAGCTCCTGGTGTAGAATTCTGGCTACTAGGTTGTGCCTGTGCAAGTACTCAGAGTTATAAAGCGCCGAACAACCGGAGATGACATGCCTAAGTGACTCCCCGGGATGGCGACAAGCTCGACAGAAGTCGACGGTGCCATCCTTTAGGATGTATCTCCGATAGTTGTTGGTCTTAATAACCTGATCCTGTATTGCACAGACAAAACCCTCGGTTTCCCCCGAAGAGGTCACCGAAACGTAGCCAGTTGAGGGAGGCGACTGTATCTACGAAGGGCTCATGTAGAGCCCTGTAGTACCTCCCGTGGTGCTCCTTCTCCTTCCATACGGTCTCCCGGTCGGAAATGCTAAGCACTGCTGGGTCCTGCCATTGCTCGTTGGCCAAGGATAGAGGGGTAAGCCCTTTATCACTAGAAATGACGTCATTATAGAATGGATCATCTGATCTCGCCAGGAAGTAATCACGGAGGCTGCACACTTCACGATTATGCATAGTGAGCGCGCTCAGAAAGCCACGCCCACCATGCTTTTGCGGCAGGTATAGCCTCATTACCGACAGCATTATTATTATTATTTTGGGGTATCTATATAGTTTTCTCATCTGGTTGGGTGCTATAAATATATAATTATAAATGAAAATGAAAAGATAAATATACATAAATATCAATAACATAAAATAAATATAAAAGTACATAAATAAATAAAAGCCCAACCAGATGGAGGCCCTCGGCAGGGGAGACCAAACGGCCGATGGTTAGGGGGAAAGGGAAAGAAACCGGCGGACGATGCGGGCGGTATCGAGGAGCACCGCCTTCTGCATTTGAACCTGGAGCGGTCCGCCACGTAGTCCCAGCCGCCTCAGATGACCCGAGAGGCTGACTGGGATTAGCCCGTTTGCAGAGACGACTACAGGAATAATTTCGGTCGGCAGACCACCCCACATGTCGGTCACCTCGTGTGCCAGGTCCAGATATTTTGTTTGCTTGTCTGTTTCGGCTTTCACGAGGTTCTCGTCATACGGAATGGTAATGTCGACCAAAAATATCCTTGACTGTGCCCGGTCCATCAGCACAATATCAGGCTTATTCGCAAGAATAGTCCTGTCTGTGATGATGGCCCGGTCCCAATAGAGCCTGGTGCGATCATTTTCGAGCACGGCTTCCGGCAAGTACTTGTAATACGGCAATTTCCGATCCACGAGACCGTATTTCAGAGCGAGCTCCTGGTGTAGAATTCTGGCTACTAGGTTGTGCCTGTGCAAGTACTCAGAGTTAGAAAGCGCCGAACAACCGGAGATAACATGCCTAAGTGACTCCCCGGGATGGCGACAAGCTCGACAGATGTCGACGGTGCCATCCTTTAGGATGTATCTCCGATAGTTGTTGGTCTTAATAACCTGATCCTGTATTGCACAGACAAAACCCTCGGTTTCCCCGAAGAGATCACCAAAGCGTAGCCAGTGGAGGGAGGCTACTGTATCTACGAAAGGCTCATGTAGAGCCTTGTAGAACCTCCCGTGGAGCTCTTTCTCCTTCCATACGGTCTCCCGGTCGGAAATGCTCTGCACTGCCGGGTCTTGCCATTGCTCGTTGGCTAAGGATAGAGGGGTAAGTCCTTTATCACAAGAAATGACGTCCTTATAGAATGGATCATCCGATCTCGCCAGGAAGTAATCACGGAGGCTGCACACTTCGCGATTATGCATGGTGAGCGCGCTCAAGAAGCCACGACCACCATGCTTCCGCGGCAAATACAGCCTCATTACCGACGATCTCGGATGATGCATCCTATGGGACGTCATTGTAGTGCGGACTTTTCTATCCAGGGCGTTAAGTTCAGTCTGAGTCCACCTGAGTATGCCAAAGGTATACATGAGGACAGGCATGACCCAGCCGTTATATGCGTGTGCCTTATTCACACCGGATAAAAAGGCTGTTAAGCACTTTGGTCAAGCGTGCATAAAACACGTCGCAAACTGACTGTTTCATACCAGTCTCATCGATACCGATGTTTTGTGACATACCCAGGTATCGGTATGTTTCAGCCTCGGAAAGGGTCCTTAAGTTGACGGGCATAGATAAGTCTACGCCCTCAGAGTTAGCAACCCTTCCCCTTTCAACATGTAGTACCGCACACTTATCCATCCCCAGCTCCATTCCAATGGAATTGCTAAATTCACAAGTGATGTTTAGCAATTCCATAAGATGGGAGCGACTGGAGGCGAATAACTTGAGGTCATCCATATAGAAATGGTGGGTCACTTTTGTCCCTCCTTTCCGTAGCTGAAATCCCCTCCCGGAGCCCTCCAGTAAGGTACTGAGAGGGTTCAGAGAGAGGCAGAACCATATTGGACTCAGACAATCGCCCTGGAAGGTACCCCTTCTTATCCTTATGTGGTTCTCCGCAGCCATCATCCGCTCGCCCAGATGACAAAGGATCGTACTCCACTGCCCCATACACTGCTCGAGGAAGTCTCTAACTGTACAGTCTATCTTGTACAGTTCGAGGACTCTCTTTAGCCATGTATGGGGCACCGAGTCGAATGCCTTTCTGTAGTCTATCCAGGCGGCGGAGAAGTTCCGACGGTTGCGTTTCACCACTTTGCCAATGACCGCGTCAATGAGGAGTGGTTCCTTGGTTCCACGACCACCGCCCCGACATCCATTTTGAGCGCGCGACATCACCTGATTTGAGTCCAGGTGACAAGTGATTCTCGCGCTCAAAATGGATGTTAGTGTCTTGTATATGGTCGGTAGACACGTGATGGGGCGGTATTTGCTCGGGTCTGTGGTACCCTGGTCTTTAGGAACCAAATGAGTGATCCCAGTAGTGAAGAGGCTTGGGAGCGACTTCTGTTTGAGAGCCTCTTGAAACTGTCGGGCGAGCACAGAGTGACACACCATGAACCCCTTCAGCCAGTAGTGATGCAGCCCGTCAAGCCCCGGACTTTTCCAGTTCGGGGCCCTACGGACCGCCTCAGATACGTCATCCGGCGTTATGATGACGGGGTCCATGAGCGTAATACCCGCACACTGACTCGCCACAACTTCCGTCCAAGGGCCCTCGCTATGGTTTACGGGCTCTGACCACAGGCCGCGCCAGAATGCTACAGTGTCGGCCTGATTCGGTGCTGGACCCGTTCCACTTACCATTGGTCGCTCCAATGATTCATAGAGCCTCTTCTGATCACTCTGGAAGAGACGATTCTGGTTGAACCGTGTCGACCTCTCGGTATATCGCCGAATCCGATTTCCTCAAGCAGCGATTCTCTGCTTCAGATCATCTATGCGCTCCGTCAGTTTTTGCGTTATATCAGGCTGGGACAAACTGACATTTGTCCCAGCAAACGCCATCCTGACGGTGCGCACAATTCTTGGCCTGTTGTTGCTTGATCTGAAGCATATCAGTCTGCCGATGAGAGCTCTAGCCTTTGCGATACGTTCCTGAATTCTTCTTCTCCATGCTGGGATAGCGCTACTATGGCCAGTAGCGCGTCCAGCCGTGGAAACCTTGGCGCCTATGATACGGCAGACTGCCAGCGCGGCGCCAAAAAGAATTGAGTCCGTCTCGCAAAGGTCCCGGCTGGCTTCCAAATAGGTAACCAGCATTGGGTTCAGAGCCCTCACGACAGCCCGATTCCGCTTGCTTAGGCCTATGCGGGGAAGTCGCGGTCGATTTTCGAGAGGCGTACTGCGCGTTTCCACAATCGCCTCTTCCAATATACTCCTCATATGCTCTAATTCCAGTTCCTGGGCGACTGTTCCATCATCGTTTGAATCAACCACAACTGGGGTATTCACGGCGGCATCCACGTTTGCGGGTTGCTCTACCATTTGTGGCGCCGCATCCTCAGCCGTAGCATTCTCATCCGACGAGGGAACAGCCTCACGTCGTAGCCGTTCGAGTTCGGCGACATCAAATATATTTGAGCGCAAGATATACCGAACTCGGTCTGCCAGGTTTTGCTCTGTGACGGTTAAAGATGGCTCCAGCTCAGCAAAAAGACGATGCATCCTAGTCCGATACGCCAAACATCCAGTTTCTTCCCCTTTTGCCCTAAAGTATGCCCGCAGTGCGTTTGCATTCATTTCTTGTGACCAACGCATGCGACGTGCTCCACCAGCGGCGAGTGCCGCTTGCTGAGTCCGAGAAGACCCAGCCGACACCAAGCCTTCTGGTGGGGATGATGGATGCGGAGGGCTGGTAGGTGACCGTGCAACTCCTCGCGCTCGGCTGGCGGCCCGCATGCTGCCGCGTCCAGCGCCAGCTCCAGACGCGCCCCGGCGACCCCCAGGCAGCGGCCCTTTGCGCACTATCTTTTTTATCCATCATCCATTACTTGGGCGTCCATTAACGTTAGACGCCCAGGCCCGGCACCGTTTCGTGTGTAGCCATAAGCACAAACGGGCCTCTGCACCCTAAATTCTGCCGCGGCACGGCGCTCACACCTCTCGCAAGGCGCTGACTGACTGCGTTGACGTAGCAGTTTTGTCACTTAACTGTTACGTCAGCGGGCGATGGGGTCGTCAATTCCCTACGCCTTTTTTTTTTATTATTATTATTATTATTATTATCAAGAGTGATGCGTATTTTCTAGCGACTTCAAAAAGGAGGAAGTACTAAATTCGACTGTATGTTCTTTTTCAATTAGTGTTACCTAATAACTTTCTGCTAGGTGAAACGATTTCGATGATTCTTTTTTATTTTAATTTAGGATTAAAACTGGTGCTTCTGATATGGTCCCATATAACTTTTTTAAAGAAAAGGGGGCAAACGAGCATACGGTTAACTTAATGTTAAATGAATTCCGCCGCCCATGAACATCCGCAACACCAGGGGAATTTCAGGTGCGTTGCCGGCCCTTTAGAAAGGAGTAAATTCTTTTCTTGAAGGTCCCCAGTTCGTATCGGTCCGGAAAAATTGCCGATGGTAAACTATTTCACAGAGAGAAGAGAGGAAGAAATCTCCTTGTGAAACGTACAGTGGTGGACCGTCAAGCATCCAGATGGTGTTGAAGGTATCGGAAGGTTTGCTGCGCAGTACGTTCATGAAATTTGGCGGAAATTTGTGCAAAATTGTGACTTTTGAGGGTTAAAATGGACTAAATATAGTCGCCCCCAATCCGAGACTTTGCCTAGCAAAGACCCAATTTCAGATACAAGTTTGTCCCGGTACTCGGATAGGTTTTCCCGAGAAATATTGGCACAGCCGGTGTACAAAGCATCACCAGTGCTATCATCTGCATAGCCATGAATGTTGCTGGTTTGCAGCATATCAATGATATGCAGAAGAAGCAGCATTGGTGATAGCAAGCAGCCTTGTGAAACACCATCATTAATGTGCTTGTAATCGGAGCTTGCACCATCTACAACAACCTTGATGCTCCGATCTGCAAGCTGGTGATCCGATTGCACAATTTCTCGGGAAGCCCACAGGACGAGAGCTTTGAAAGAATGCTTTGTGTCAAACCCGATCGAAGGCCTTCGCAATATCCAAACTAACGGCCAATGCCTCCCCCTTGAACTCTACTGCCGCCGCCTATCTACCTACCTGTGCAGAAATTGAAGAGATTGCTGATAGAAATTCCCCTGGACAGCCTTGACGAGAGACCAGAATGCTCGGGTTCCAGAAAGAAGGCGAACTAGTTTCGCGCCAATTCTGTCTATGTGCTCTGACGTTGGATTGGCAATGACTCTTTTGAAGGACCTGGAAGCGGAAATATACTTCTTTTTTAGAGCACTGGTGTTTACATCCCGGGACGTTGATGCGTCAGCCCAGGCTTGGTAGCACTCCTGCTTATAGCATGTGTTAATTTACAGGAGCTACCAAACCATAGCTGAGATTTGCTTCCAATGGGCACTACAGAGGAAGGAATAAAAAGTTCCATACCCTGAAGTACCACATCAGCGACAGAATCAGCAAAAACGTCGGGATTGTCTGGTGAGAAGCAAACACGCCCGCAAGGGCAGAATGCAAAGAAGGACTGCATCCAATCCCAATTAGCTGACCTATAGTGCCATACTCGGTGGCAGCCTGCATAATGCAACCAAGATTTCAGCGTGAGTGGCACCACACTCCGGATAACACAATGGTCCGTGGAGCCTAAAGAGGTGTCGACAGAAATCTGATATCCGTCCGAATGAGAGGTCAGCAGAAGTTCCAATGGGGAAAGTGTACGATCCTCCATATCTGGAATCCTCATAGAGGAAGTAACCAGTTGTGTCAGACCATATGCCAAGGCAAAATCATGAACAGATCTCCCCGCATGATCAGTTGAACGTGTACCAAGCCATTCGGCGTGGTGGGCGTTAAAATCGCCGAGGGCCTCTATCTCTGCGGAGGGGATCTGCTGTAGCAACGAATCTGTAGCCATTTGGACGTGGTCGAAAAGTCGGTCTGTTTCGGGATTACCGCAATGAGACCTGTAGAGGCACCAGTAGACGCGCGGATGGTTGGCGCTGTCTACGCGTAGCCAAAAGACGGACAGGTCCGAACATTTAAGACTGCTAAGCGTAGAGAATAAAGCCCATCCCGAGGCACAAAGGAGTGTTCCAATTTGTACCCCAGGTAGGAGAGATACTAAGCATCAGCCGGAGAGGACACCTGAGTCCCGGTCAAAAAGCACAGAGCTGGCCTCGTCGTCTCGAGATGGTAGTGGACGGCGTTTAGGTTAGAATGAATTCCCCTGATATTGCAGAAATTCACGGATAGCGTGGCGGGGGTCGCCTTGGTCTTGTTGCTCAGTTTGCCCCGAGCAGCTATTGTCTTGAGCGGAATCCCCCCTCACCTCCCCCAGAATACGCGGGGCAGCCTGAGCACCCACGTTTAGGAGTGGAGTAACTGGGTTGTGGATACTCAGCGAGGGCTTCTCCAGGGATGCTGGTACCCTCCTGGGGTAGATCTTTACTTAATTTAGCTACCTTGTTTAGCGGGGGGAGGGCTTCCACTTCATGCCGGTATTCTGTGAGGTCGTGATACCACTCCGGTTTGAGTATTCCCCGTAGGGATATTTGCCATAGTTGTCACGCCTGACAAGCGGGTTGGCAACCGCAGTTTTTTATTATTTAGTTTTTATTAGGAATACTTTGCCGCCCATCTCCTGGTTTATTTCCCTCTGTCACCTCTTGCCACGACCTCGGGACGATATTGCATAGTAGATATTCACACACCGCCGCTACATAGCCTTAAATATACTACTACAGAAGCTTGGGAGAGGAAGCTTTCCTACAATTATCAAAAGTTGTGTGTGAAAGTGTTATTTCATTAAGCAGTCTTCCCATACCGAATTATATAAGTATACTAACTTATGAGATGATTTTATGTTTAAGAAAAGTTCTATATATGTTATACCTCACGATTTAAACCCTGTCGATGACTATACTTATCCGCTTATATAGAACGTAAGTATACTTAACGATAGTATATAACGTCATAATATAATTCAATTACGCACTTCAAAGTATAAATAAAAAGTGTAGCCTAAAGCCAAATCCATCAACGAACATAGACGTTCCTTAGTACAAAGGCGTATGCGTAATTGAAAACAAACAGACCGTAGCCATCTCAAACGAACGTACCGGATGATATCAGCGCAGGTTTTTCATGCCAATATAAATGACGTCCTTAGTAGAGTTTCAGGAATGTTACAAATAAAATTACAAGTTGTTTGGTATCTTTTTATTTATAAACATATGTAGTATTCTTTCTTGTCCTATCTCTCTATTTCAGTCACTCAGGAGGTCCTGTCTTACATATAAAAAAAATTATTATTACTAAAATACTACTGACCCAACGGACATCGTTCTGTCAAAAGCTATTGGACTGTGACAATCCAGAAAAACTTAAAATCTTATAATCTCGGAAACAATGCTGCCACACTCGGTCTTCAGCTTTGACAATTGGCTCTTTCTTGCAGACAGATCTCTGGCAAAGACTGGACTGGAGCCCTGGTTTCGCTCTATCGCTTCTTCAATACTTTAATTAAAGTTGCGTCAAACATTAATTGACATTGAAACACAGAAAAAAAAAAAGAAAGATTTCATCATAAAGAGTCTCACTTTCTCCATGACGTCGGGCAGCTGCTGGCCCTTTGGGTTCCGTTGCCCTTTTCCAAATTACCCTACCTTCAGCTCACCCTTCCTTTCTTGTGCCTAGCTTTGTGTTGAAGTCTCCCATTAATAATGTATAATGAGTTTTGGAGGAATGCATGGCTCCAAAAATATCCTCATACATTTTCTCAACTCCCTCATCCAGATGTGCCGACGTTGATGCGTAAACCTGTATAACCTTCAGCGAATACCGTTTGATGTTTCTGAGTATAAGGTACGCAACCCTCGTCGACACACTTCCAATCTTTATAACGTTGCTAACGAGAGACTTGTGGATGATAAATTCAACAACTCCTTAGGACAGATGGTCGCACTCGCGGTGATAGAACCAGATTCGAGAATCACCGTGTCCTTCTATAATATTATAAAGCAACTTGTCTATCTCTTCCTCCAGCTCCAGGTTCTTCTCTTCAGTCTTCAGGTTGCATGCGTAATATGTTGCAAGGTCGAGTCGTCGTAGGTGGAAACCGAACCTCAATCGGAGATTCTTAGCACCCCCTGCACCGCCATTGCTATGGTCGCCACCGTAGCCAGGAATAGCTAGACCACCGGGGTCTGGGGCCCATCTATTTGCGTCGTTCTCATGGTTTTTGTTGTATAGTTGCTGCTATTAGAAAGATGATTCTGCCCATCTCCTGCCCGTTTCCTTTTGTCGCCTTTTGCGACACCACGGGAAGTTATGGGGTAGTAGATATTCTTAACCGCCACTACACGGTTTTTTTCCTTAATATGGGACTCAAAACTATTTATGTATCGGTTCGATAGGAAGTATTTGCATTCTCGTGAAATTTTTACTCGTGCATTTGCAAAAAACACGATTTGAATTTCAGTTGAGGATCGTCTGCACCAATATATGGTAACCTACATTTGCTGAGGTCAAATCGCTTGAAATTTTCAAACTCGCG